ATCAGCGTCCTGCGCATGGTACTCCTTCAGTCTAAGTCGGCGAAAAAAACTATCAGCGTCGCGTTTCACCTGAAATTCATTTACTCTAGATTTAACCGGAATGAAATTCAGTCCCCGACTCAATACGCTACGTTCGGATACACTAAGAGGGAGGTCCTCAGGGATAGTGACCACTCGGCGAACATTTTCGCGCTCAGCAAAAGGTAACCTGTACTCACCCTTTTCTTCATACTTACCTGCACAGAGTCTGTTCAATTTCATTAATTTGCGTCTCCGCAAAGCATGGTATAAACGCATATTCAGAGAATGAACAACCGTAAAACAAATGTTTATGGGTTTATGGGTTGTCTGAAACTTGGTATATAGATGCTCTGCACAGATTTGATTAGGTTTTGGTGAAAAGCCATGCATATTAATTACCTAATTTGCATGATAATTAGCTAATTTTTAGCTGTTCCATGACTGTTCCACTGATATCTAAAGAACCACTTATTGGATTTTGATGGAACTTGGCACATACCGTAAATGCTCTGAACTAATGCGCAGATTTGATTAGTTTTGGGTAGAAATCCAGGCATATTAATTACCTAATTTGCATAATGATTAGTCAATTTTCGGCTTTTCCACTGATATCTCAAGTACTAATCATCACATTTCAATGAACCTAGGACTATACAGAGACTCAATTAGTTTTTGGTGAATATTTATGCTTATTAGTCATCTATTTAACATAATTAACAAATTTTCAACTTTCACACTGATATCTCAAGTACTGATCATCACATTTGAATAAAATTTGGTACATAAATGCTCTAGGACAATAGACAGGCCTGATTAATTTTGGGTTAAAATCTGTTTATATTAATTCTTAATAATTTTTTTGATTACTTTTGTTAAGTTACTGTGTTATTTTGCTTCCCCTTATTTTGTAAATAAATAATTTTACAACTGATAAAAAAAATTAATCCTCTTCCAGTGCATTGAGTACAATAGATGGTGGAAAATGTAGTCATCTGATCCAATATGGCCATATGCGTCATGGTGTCATTTTTGTCATAAAAACACTTCAATATTAATATATTTATGTTGTACAACTTGTTGTACTGTTTTCTAGTAAGCTTGTTGACTATGTGACTTTGAACAGCTAGAAAATAAAAGATATTGAAGTAACCTAAATAAACCATAACAAACCACATATGCTACCTAACAATTATGAATACAATCTTGTCTCAAGATGGTAATGACAAGGGCCGTATTCAGACAAATGTTTATGGGTTGCACTCTATTTGTGCTTGCATATAATTTAGACAAAGTCGTATCAAAATCTGATCAATGACACGGCTATTGTATTTTAGTTGTTAATCATCATTTCCCCTATTGCTTGAATGTGTTCTTGTAGATGAACTGGTTGATTTCAATCAATACTTTTTGTGTTGCACATTATTTTTTTGGTTGAGGACTGTGTGATTCAAAATGGTTAGCTGATGAGCATACATTTTGGCTTGCAAACGAATATGTAATTTTTACAGCTCAGTAACACTGTTCCAGTGTACTTAGTACTAGTGAATAATTTTGATTGAATTGTTGACTGGTATATACGGTTGTATTTGACTTTGTATGTAGTGAAAGGTCATGTAAATATGGTAATGTAGTCATACAGTGCTGAATAGTATCTAGCCCTAGGTCATGACCTTACAGTGTTGAATAGTAAGTGCATGCCCCCCCCCCCCCCCCGATGAAATACATGAAATTCTTAGTGAATTCTTCATTTTTTACCTTGTCCATATCATCGTAGATGAAGTTTAAAGTATATAGATGGAAAATGTCTGTCCTTGTTGTCATTGACACTGTAAAACTTTTTCTTGTGGTTATAAACAGTTTTTATTCATTAATTTCTTTTTAACTTATAATATATATTATATAATATTATATTAACCAGTGTGGGATCTCGACCAAGTTCTATTCTGGTTTGTATATTTTTCATATATATGTATATTTCTCTTAAAATTATCTTCTTGTGGTTACAATAACTCATCTGCAAAATGTGTGAATCTTATCAATCACTAGGAAATGTCAACCAAGTGCAATTTTCAAGATATAAATTACAATGAAATAAAACATTTGTTAGACATAAAAATAAATGGGCAGAATCTATTTAACTGCTGATAATGAGAACCAGATATTAGTAATATGGTTTCCAGGAGATATCAATTAGATAAGTGTAATACACTGATATGAATACATATAAAAAAAAACAAGTGCAGTGTTTCCCACCTTTTTCAAATCTGCCTAGTATTTTATTTTGCTTAAATATATTACTGCACTATTATTTGAGAATTTGGTTTCCAATTCATGCTATATTATTATAAGATACATTGAGATTAATACAGTATATGTAGTATTAGTTAAGGAAATTATTGGCTAGTATTTTTTTTGCCAAATTTTGTTTAGATATGTTGCTATTTTTTTTAAGGAAATTCATACAGTACCTGTAGTATTTGAGGAACATGAATATTAATTATTTTGTTATGTAATTATGATGACTTTATTGTTCTTGTCCATTTTTGTTCAGAATTGTTACCACCTACAAATTTTAGCCAGTGCTTTGTTTCAGGACTTTTATACTCACCTTTGCCATTCAAAAACAAGATATTGTGTCATTAGTTTGTATCCATCCATTCATTTGTTAATTTAGATTTTAAATCGACAAAGTTGTAGTCATCCATTGCTCAGTAGTCGCAACATGCTTTTTACAGATGATGGTGAAACCTAATCTGACACTAGCAAAATTATACTAAATGCAGATAATTGTTGCTGATTGTTGTCATATTATTGGTGGATGTTGGTTATAAAATAACACGCTTTTTATATAAGTTCTGTGCTTGTGACTTCAAAATCATGCATAATTATAGGTCCTGTAATTTATAATTCACAAATAGAATATAGCCATTGTAAATGGATGCGACTAGTAGATATGACCCAGTAAGGTACATCCATTAGATACCCTGTGATTCACAATGGATTAAAAGCAGCCTTTATTTATATTTGTAAATTATTGGTTTGATAGCATAATATAATCTCTGAGATGAAGATGTACAATTCTTTTTACACAACATTTGTGTGAAAACTGAACCAATTTGGGTCTCAGTGGCATTACCTTGATTAATTTTTAATTGGGATATATATTGGACAATACCTGTTGAACTTGTTCAATCTCTGTACTTAATAGAAGCTCAGTGCATCATATATTGATTGGTTTGTCTGCATTGATAATGTTGTTTACTTGTTCAAACTGTAATGTTAAGTGTCATGATTTAATCTTCCTTATTGTCTAGAATTAATTTAAAAAAAATTTAACATGGGTCCTTCCTAAAGTGTAATTTTAAACATACTAGCACTGACTGGTATATAATGTTGTATTTAGCTTCAGTATGTAGTGAAAGGTCATGTGAATATACTGAAGTAATGCAGTGCTGAATAGAATGTAGTTAAAGGTCATGAACTTATAGTATTGAATATTGTGTAGTCATTGTAAATAAAAAAGTCCATTGTGTATATCTTATGACAAACCTTTCATGGTTTCTGTAAATAGCACACTTGAATGCATCCAGTGCTTATTTAGTGTCACCAACTACAGTAGTCTAGCTGTAACTCTACTTTCAAGATGGCTCTCAGTTGGCTTTGCCTTTTCTTTATGAATAATTCTTAAAGGGATTCTCATTATCTAGTTTGCCCAAGTTGTAAGGTGCTTTGACGTGAAATGCAGATATTGAAGTAACCTAAATAAACCATAACAAACCACATATGCTACCTAACAATTATGAATACAATCTTGTCTCAAGATGGTAATGACAAGGGCCGTATTCAGACAAATGTTTATGGGTTGCACTCTATTTGTGCTTGCATATAATTTAGACAAAGTCGTATCAAAATCTGATCAATGACATGGCTATTATATTTTAGTTGTTAATCATCACCCCCCCCCCCTATGTGTCCTTGGAGATGACCTGGTCGATTTCAATCAATACTTATTGTGTTGCACATTATTTTTTTGGTTGAGGACTACTCTACTTCAAAGATGGCTCTCAGCTGGCTTTGCCTTTTCTCCATGAATAATTCTTAAAGGGATTCTCATTATCTAGTTACCTTTAACGTAAAATGCAATATTTGCATTCAGATAATCAATTTTGTATGTGTTGGATAATCACTTCAATTCTCTAAATATGAATGACAAATTTATTTATTTTATTTTATGTAATGCAAAAAACAAATAATATTTTTGCCATAGGCAAGTATCTGTTCCATTCCTTTGAGAGAAGATCTGCACAAGAACTAGCCAAATGAGAGATCATTGTGTTTGTGTTACCTATATTATATGTGGTATACTTGTGTCGTGTTACTTTTGTTTTTGTAACTGCACCTTATTGAGATCCAAATGGGTAATATGAATAAATAAAAAAAATACAAATAATTATATTTGTTTTGTGCATTGTAGCTGTTGGCTTTTGATAATTTATCATATATCATACTACATCAATTTGATGATTTTTTTATACATGTAAATTTTAAATTTATAAAAACACAACATTTATTGAACTGAAATGGAACTAACAACTGAAAACTGAATAAATGTAATCAACTTGCTTTGTATACATGCATTCATCAATTCATGTAACTGTATATGCTGTTCTTGTTTACTTAGGATATGCTCCAGGTTTTGAAAGTGGAAGTCTGTTTTGTAAATGTGTCAGTGAGGAAAGAGAGCTCATTCAACAAACAAATATTTCTGAAGCAGATCAAGACAATGAGGAAGAGGAGGAGGAAACCCGTGTGGTTGGCATAAATACTTCATTTATTAGACAGCCAAAATCAAGTAATAAAGATATCTTATTTATCTAATTTACCAAATTGAAATTTTTTAGTTATTGTAAAACATCTAGGTATTTGGATTATTTTGAATAATTGTAAAGTTTTATCTAACACTGGATGTATGCATGTGCAATACATGAAAGGTATAGAAAGCTTTATTAGCTGTGCTGTCTTCATAGATGAAAGAGCAGAGTTGTTTATATAGGTGATAGTCTGTCCTATGTCCATCAACAATTACATTTCCATCATCTTCTTGACAACTACCTGCTTAATTGCTTTGATACTTGGTGTTTAGGTAACTTAGGTGGATTAGATTAGCACTCAAAGCTGTGCTGAAACTCTGGAGCTATTTTGACAGTCAGGTCACTAAAAATAAATATATAATAAAAATATAATAGAATTGTTCAATAAGCTTGTCATGTGTGAATTTATGGAAGTAAAATGTTTTTGTAGATTTAACTTTTGTTTTAATACAGTGTTTGGTCATATAAATTCTTCATTCAGGGATTGTTACACCCAGCGCCCATGAGATTGAGATACCAGTACTGTAAATTAGCTCAAAAAACTGCTTAACAATTACCAATGTTGATTTTCAACAAATTATAACATTCAAAATAAGGATGCAAAAAGACTAAAATATTATTTTAAATACTTATTATTCACTTGTGAACAATTCATATATATACTGGATAATAGTACAAATGGCTTTTGACTCCCATACCCCTGGTATACTGAATATGCCAGCATATCCTCAACGGACTAATAAATTTTGACTTCATCAACATCAATCCATTTATTAGAACTGATCTTGTCATATGATAGTTGTGCTGGGTGTCATGCCTGTGGGCAAGCTAGCTGCCCATCCTAAATCTCGCCATATAATACCATTGTTACCTTGCCCGTAACATCAAAGATGGAAGGGAAAGGTATATTAAGAGAAAAATCTGTCCGGCATTGTTGTTGTCGTCGTCGTCGTCGTTAATAATTGTTATTGTGTGCACAATAACTTTACTAATTCTATTCCAAACTTTATCAAACTTGGTCAACTTATTCAGCAGTATAAAGTCTTCCCTTATCATGCAAAAATTGAGAAATCTGATAAAATATTTTGACTGTTTCTACTTGACTGATCACTGGCGATACACATTCAAAGGTCATTGATCTCAGTGGAAATATGCATTGTTGTCTGTGTTGAATGAGGCAAATCATTTATCTATAATATCCTTGGTAATGTATCTACCAAATCCCATGGGAATACTAGACTGGGTTTCAAAACCAACTCATGGAGAGAGTTTTTGCACAGTCTGATACACATTTGCAAACCTAAAATCTTTACAGAAAACAAGATGTCAGAAAATCAATATAAACACTCATATGAATTGGGTGCCAAACTTTGATCAAGATCTGAAGTTAATAGAAAATCTGTTTAGTCCAAAGTTATCAAATCAAAAACAATACATAACAAATACATAAAAAGCAAAACGTTTAATCCACATTTTCAAAAAAAAATTGTACTCAAAAATAGGTATTTTCGACAGACACCTGTACAAAATACTTGGGCAAAAGCCAGCTAAGATTTTCTGGTATCTAGAATGATTTATGAATCTATTCACGTCTAAATGCAGCACTTTTTTTCTGAGACGGAGCATTTGTTTTTATAATAAAAAATCTGAATTACTTTGAATCAAGCTTGAAATTATGTTCCTTAAAATAATTAAACAAATTAGGCACCATTGTTTTTGTAAGATATTTACATTTATCAAGGGTATTCGGTAAACTTCTTTCCCACTGTTGTTTCAACCCCAAAACTTGTTTGTATTCAAAATGAATTATGCCCATGCATATTCATATTGAAACAAACTATGATAAAGGGAATAATATTATATAACAAAGGGCAAGGTTACCAGAGTTCAACTATGTTTGTAGTTTACAAGTCTTTGAATTTTGCATAATTTTTTTTTTTTTTTTTTTTTTTTTTACAGTAACTGGTTCTCAGCTTAATTTCAGAGGACTTCTTCTTCACATATTTATGGGTCTGTTGAGTTCTATTATAGTTATAAGCAACACATTATTGATGGAGTATTCAAACAGTGACTGGAAACTTTATATCTACCCAGTATTCAATATACTATTAGTCATCATAATGGTTGCTTTAGCTATTCCCCTCAGTAAGTATAGCATATCCACATTATTTATTGCAATCAATCAATCTGTCATGGGTTTTTCCGTTGCATGTGACAATGTCAGTCTCATCAGTAAAGGGGGTTACTATACCTGCATGGCTGAAACCTTTTCAATTGTCGGAATAGTCATTAGTCATTAGTTCTTTGACAAATATGGCACTATCGCATTCACCTATTGCTATGTTTACACGGCAGCATTCTATCAGAGCTGAACTACTGCCATCGATAAACAGGAGATTATTGTTCAACTCTTGTGATATGTGTAACAGTTGTCAATTTAAACCGTGACCACTTCTACAATTTTTATCTTCGGTGTCTTTTAAAAGTTTCTTCAATACAT